TCACGTTTGTGTTTTCAGGTGATAAAGTGACGTCGTACGGAGGAGCGCAGACTTAGTCAACAGGATCATACGAGAAAGTATATTTCTTTCCCGTACACCAACCATTTACAAATTAAGTTCAAGTTTGATTTACAAATTTGAGTTCAATTTGATAGGAAAACAAAACCCATTACATTAATTCATAAACTATCTCACTTACACGAGTTCATCATTACCAACAAGCACACGAAGACTAATAAAACCACAAAAGCACAAAACAACAAAAACAAAAACAAAAACAAAATCTTAGCAGAGATTCTTCTTCACCGATACTTCAAACCACACCACCACCATCATCAGGGACGACCCACAATTCTAGCAATATATTACAAAGAAAAATTTTAAAATAAAAATTTAAACTACAACATTAATTTCTACTAATATAAAATGTGAAAAATATCATGAAAATATATATCAATAAAATATTTTCTTATATTCATGTTGAGTTATAAATAATAGAAATTATAAGACAATCATAAACATTAGTTTTGACAAATCACTTTTTTTTTTTTTTTTTTTGAGGGGGGGGAGGGAGGAGGGGAGGTTATATTTTGTCCAAATGGTTAAATTTTATAGTTCAAATCCCATGTTTTTGGGTCATTCTATTTACACACCACCTTCTCTCTCAAGGCAAACCATTAATTAATTTATTTTTTATTACAATTTTAACCTTAAGTGAAATGACTATAGAAGACAAGTTATGATACACACCATTTGTGTATTTACCATAAAGGACAAGAATCAATATAATATAAATCATCAATTTCCGTATCTTCTCTGTCAAGAATACAAAAATCCTAAAAAAAAATCAAAAACCCTTCAACAAATAATCAAAAATATAGTATTATTGAAGATTTTGATTGGATTCAATGAAGGATGCATTTGACAATTCTCATTCGGAACAATAGAACAATGAAAAGGTTATTTTTTTTGTTGTTTCTGTCTTCGTTTTCGTTTATGAGTGGTAAATCTTTGTTTGGTTAACCAGAGGTGAATAATGTATCACTGTTTGACAATCTACAATCGAACATGTCACATATGTTCCACAATCTACAATCGAACATATTACATATGTTCCACAATCTACAATCGAACAAATAGCACTTGTTCAGATTACTACAATCGAACTTTTTTATTTAATTCGACTCTGTACTGTCAAACGGTTAAAAAAAAAATTCTACTTCTTTCAGAACTGTGCATCCGTGGAATGCAGTAATGTTGGATCTGGGGGTCTTGTTGACTACACGAGTCAATTTATTACTAATGAGGTAGTCCCATGTCATAAATTAGTGTTTTTTTCTTTTTCTTTTCGGATGTTTAATGACTTTGTTGAATTTGACTTGTAGGTTTTCAAGAGCAAAGAAGAATTGCTCGGTTGGGTAGGGGACGTTGGAAGGAAAAATGGGTTTGTGATTGTCATCAAGACATTAGACTATGGTGGTGGTCATAGGACACCGAGGATATATCTTGCCTGTGAGAGAAGTGGTCAATACAGAGCTCATAAGAAATTAAAAGAAGATGATTCAAACAAAAAAATTGTGAAAATAACGGGTACAAAAAAATGCGGATGTCCTTTTGAGTTGAGGGCTCATAAGTTGATGGCTGATGATGATTGGATGGTAGATGTAACATGTGGAATGCATAACCATGCTCCTGCTAAACATTTTGAAGGACATTCATTTGCAGGGAGATTATCTGAGGAGGAAACATCATTATTAGTGGATATGTCCAAAAGCATGGTCAGACCAAAAGAGATTTTGGTTACATTGAAACGAAAGGATGCTTTCAATGTAACCACTATGAAAACCATTTACAATATACGTCATAGGAATAATGTTATTGAGAAAGCTGGGAGATCACAAATGCAACATTTGTTGGGTGAGTTACAAAAGCATAATTACATTGAGCGGCATAGGTGTGACAACAACACGATGACTGTCACAGACTTGTTTTGGGCACATCTTGTCAGTTTAGATTTGCTTCGTTCATTTCCAAAGGTGTTGATCATGGACTACACATATAAGACAAATCGATATCGTCTTCCTCTTCTTGAGATAGTTGGTGTGACATCCACTGATATGTCATTCTTCGTAGCCTTTGCATATCTCCAATTTGAGCGGATTGATAACTACGTTTGGGTGTTAAATACATTGTGTAGTCTCTTGGATGACATTACTATTCCTGGGGTGATTGTCACAGATAGAGAGCTTGCTTTGATGAATGCTATTGACAGGGTATTTTCTACATCTCGACATTTATTATGCTGATGGCATATTAGTAGAAATGTACTGGCGAAATGCAAGAAAATGTTTAAGAGTAAGGAGGAATGGGACAAGTTTATCTCTTTATGGAATTTCTTAGTACTCTCCTCAACTGAGCTTGAATACAATGAACACCTTGCTAGGCTACTTGCGGATTTTGATACATATCCTGAGCCTGTGCAATATGTGTCACAAAGTTGGTTAATTCCATATAAGGATAAGTTCGTTGCCGTATGGACAGATAGTTGTATGCACTTCGGGAATGTTATAACCAACAGGTAATATATATTTGTCTACCTTACACTATTAGGCATTATGATTTTGATTATTTAAACTTAATTATGTTAATTGTTTCCATTGTACATAGGGCAGAAAGTGCACATGCAAAATTGAAACGAAAACTTGGTTCTAACCAAGTAAATTTTGAGTGTTCTTGGACCAAGATCCATAGTTTGCTTGAGTTGCAGCATGTTGATATTAAGGCATCATTTGAGAAGAGTTTAACCGTTGTACAACACTAGTTCAAACCATCCCATTTTAGAGAGCTCCGAGGCAATATCTCTATTACTGCATTAGATCATGTCTTAGCGGAGAGTAAGCGAGCGAATGATGTTGGCATTGATGCTTCAGTATGTGGATGTGTTATTCAACGAACACACGATCCGACAGGGTCGTCCAATACCACTTGATAGCATTAACCCACACTGGAGGACTCTTGAGGTAGTACAAAAGTTGAAGAATGATAAAGTGGAATTTAGTTGTGAACCAAAGTTTGATCTTATACTTAAGAGATTCAATGCATCTGATTACACTATGTAGTTGGAAATTCTGCATAAGTTAGGAGAGATTGCAGATCCGCAAAGTAGTCTTCTCATTGAGCTGGATGTGAAGCCTAACCCTCGAGGTAAGGGACATAAGAAGATAGATATATCTACGCGTCGAGACCCATGTGCATTTGAGCTAGTTCAGTCCGAACATGATAGCCACTCACCTATGGGCACCCAGATTCCCAGACAAGATTCTGTCAAAGTACATAAAAAATGGCCTACCAAAGAGAAGGTACATGTAATCATTTTTTACTTATATTTTTGTTTATGATCAATTACGTGTTTTGTTGATCATGTGTTGATGATGCCTTCCCGGTTGAATAGGTATATGAGACTCGTACAAATACGACCTATTCATATGTTGATGCCCTCCCAGTTGGATTGAAGCCGTACATACGTCTTATTAAGTATGTAGATGCCGATGGCAATTGTGGGTTTAGAGCCATTGTTGGGTTGATGGGGTTTACAGAGGCTGAATGGGGTCAAGTCAGGCGTGATCTTCTACAGGAATTGCACACACACATAGACCATTACACTCATCTATATGGTTTACATGACAGGATTGAAGAACTAACCCATATTCTATCATACTTTGAGCCCAATCTAGGGTATCACCATTGGATGACTATGCCTGACATGGGTCATCTTATTGCATCTTGTTATAATGTGGTATTGTACCACTTATCTGCACAATAATGCCTTACATTCCTCCCCCTACGATCAGTGCCAATATCACAACTTCAACGGTGTGAGATTGCTATTGGGTTTGTTAATGGGAATCATTTTGTCCAGGTATAGCATTATAGTTTGTGTAATAGATTTATCATTTTGTACTGCATCGCTCTCATACTTAAAGCTTTGTCAATGTAGGTGTTCATGTTACTGGGTCATTCAGTTCCACCGATAGATACTAATTGGTGCAAGTTTCATCATTCTTGTGCAGCTGGATGGGATACTGCATATAGTTACCGAATTGAGCATTTTAAACATGTTGTTCATTCAAGGGTAGCTACTAGAGAGGCATTTGATTGTATTAACCTTGACGAGTAACGATGTATGTGAGTTGAGTTGAATTGTAGTTATATAAATAGTTACTAATAAATTTTGGTGGATTACCATTTAAATAGTTGAGTTGGATTAAGCTTTGAGTTAATTTAATGCACATGGTAGTACTTGTTCATTGCGGTGTAGCAAATGCATTAGCATAATACTTACTGTTGATTACCAAAAATACAAATGACGAATACTTGTTCATTACAAAATATTAGTAGAGTAATTCTTGTTCATCACAAAACAACAAAAACATCAAAAGAGTACTTCTTCTCCATTACATAATAACAAAACAAGATTACCACAAAACCAACTACCTATCATGTACTCGTCTCCTACGATTGTATGTTCAAAATGGAATAGAACTAGGTCTAGCCTCATCGATTTGTTGACCCTGAAGAACACGTGACACCCTTTCAATGGCCTTATATAACCTATTTGGCTCACAAAAACTAGCATCATGGCCCGCCTCGATGATAGGATGCGCAATCCGTAATGCATGATCAATACGCTGCATTAAGAACAAATACAATTGTAATTAGCACATGCTATCCTAAAAAAAAAAAAAAAAGTAAACGATGTGTGCGCAATATTGTCATACCTCAGCGTCTTGCACATCAAATCTACTATCTTGTGCATATGGGTCAAAACCAGACCGATGTGTGGGGTTCTGGATATATAAGTGTGTGATGTTTGCATACCACTGCATGTAACCATCAACACAATCAGCCGGATGTTTGACTGGGGTACTCCTCCTCCGAGTAGATAAACCATGATTATCCTAACTCTCCCATATTTGATCAAGATACTGATACATCACTCTCTATCGGCCTACTGTGACACCTCTAACAGCACGAACAGGGTCAAGTGGCACAGGTGGGATGGCCTGGACCCTACCAAACTGTCTAAGAACCCTTTCAGGATGATAAGGTTCAACTACATCCAAACACTTCAAACAGCCGCTGTAGAATGTGATCTCATGACATGGGTGATGTTTACGACAATCTCGATATGGATCCCAAGTAACCTAAAAGTGAAACACAAATGAAATCTTGATGAGTGACATGGAATGAGAACACTTAATTGAACTAATATTAATTGTTATACCTCATCAAATGCCAATTTGTCAAGCTCCTCCTGTAACGCCTGTAGGTGTGATACCGTTGAACCAGCTTCCCGACGAGGAGTCTATCGATGCACGTGAGGCAATTGTATAGTATATTCCATGTTTTGGTGAGGTCTAAATGGTTGGAAATGCTCATAAATCCATGCCTCCAACAATGTCATGTAACCAGCCATCTGTCGAACATCTGATCTCGTGCCAAATCCCAACTGTCTATAAAAATATGCCAATACAACTGCACCCCAAGCATATGTATGAATATCAGTCATATCCATCAACAACTGCAAGTACACAACAGGAACTCTCGTCCCACTCTTGTCGCTGAACAATGTACATCCCAATAGAAACAGCAAATACGCTCTGGCAGCACAAACTATGGACTCCTCAGTGTCTGAATCTTTGTAACCACTGAATTTGGTTCGTAACCACTCCAGCTTTATTGATTGTCCCCTAGCAGATGATAGCTCCTCAATTGCTTCAGCATCATTAACTCCCAATGCAGCTACCACAAGTGTATGTGCCTGTTGATCTGTCAAAGTTGCAGCACTAACTGATTTGCCTGTGATAGGGATCCCCAAGATGGTACCCACATCATCGAATGTCATTGTCATCTCACCAACTATCAAATGAAAAGTATTTGTCTCTGGTTGCCATCGCTCAACAAATGCAGAAATGACAATCCTATTCACGAACCGATATGTGCAATGGACCAAAGAAGATAGGCCCGACTACTGCACAATGTCTCTAAACCTTCTATTGTCAGTTCTTGACCACTATTGCCACTCAAGAATCTTGGACGCATGATTATAACACCTTAAGGGATTCCTCTCCTGCAAGGTAATTAATAATTAACATAAATAATGTGATTCAATAAATAATTAAATGAATGAAACCTTAACTGTAAAAAATATTTACTACCTTCTGATCCCATGTAGTTGCTGCAATATGTGCCTTGAAGCTCTTTAGTACTGATGGATCTGACGGCCCCCTAGGAAACAGACCAGTAAGTACCTCCTCAACCTGATCAACATCAGTAGCATCATCATCATCATCCCCTGAAGCATTATCAACCACATCCTCTTCCAAGATTTGAGGTGCTTCCTCCAACACAATACCATGACCCCGACCTCTATCCCGACCCCGACCTCGACCTCGACCTCGGGCACAAACAGGATTTGTTAATGCACGACGTCGTCTCTTTGAGGCAGTAGGTGGAATACGCGAAGGGTCATCCATTTCTAAAAAATGAAACAGAAAACAATAAAGTTAATAGAAGTAACAATAAAGGTAGCAGAGGTAATGAACTTAAAGAGCTACAAATGAACAAAAAGAAACCAAGTTTAACATAGATGAAGAAAGGGGAGATATATACATATATAAAAATATATGAAAGGATTTTGGGTATTGTAACACCTTATAAAAACCAACAAAAATTCCTATTGTTTAAGCCAATCACCTATTGTTGGTATTCTTGTGAGTGTATATACTTTTTATCTTAATTCCTATTGTTTAAGAAATTTGTTTTTTTGGGTTGTGCAGAGATTGATTGATTTGAAGAAGGAATATGCAGATATAATACTGAATACAGTAAAGGAATTGGTAGCTCGGATTTTGGTTTCGGAGCGAAAAGCTCTTAGGTTTCAGCACGAGCTCAATGTCACCTAAGAGCAGGCGCTTCAGATGCTACTTTGTCTCAAACTAATGGTGGATTCTAAGGTGAAACTGTCTTGTCTCAAATGGGTTTAGCACCATAACCGGCCAGTAATCCGAGATTACCGAAGGCCTGCTTAACAGTAATATAGTAAAACAGAGTACAGGGGCATGGCCGAAGCCAAAACAGTAAATAAACAATGTCCAATGAGCTGTGACAGTCTGTATGCAAAAAGACTTTTCATACATATATATATATACAGTCAGTGACAAAACGGTATGTACATATATACAATCATTCAGTTCAGGGACCCTATCCCTATTAAACAGTACAGTAATAGTCTATACAATAAACAAAACAGCTACAGAGACAGACAGGGGAAATTAAAGCACCCCTAAGCCATAGCTTGGCAGGCTTAGAACCTCGCAGTGAGGCACAGTGGTTGGCTTGACAAAACTGGAGTTTACCCCGATGCTTCTAGTCGCGGTCTGGTGCCTGTACACCTACATATATATATGAGCAGTGAGCTAAAGCCCAGTGAATAACATAATGCGTAAAGAGCTTTAGAATGAATGTCCTTATAGTAATGAAAACAGTTCATTAAATCAGTATTTTAGTCATTCAGTCAGTACAGTCATATGTGGTACATCCATTAGCATAACAGTACAGTAAACAGTAGGTCTTAAAAGACCGAACAGTAAATGATGGCCATCAATCAATAAACGGTAGTGGTTCCACAAGGGAACCGACAGAGATCTCTGTAACAGTAAACAGTAGATAGTAGTTGCTAAGGATGCCACAATACAGTTCAGAATATAGGATATACATTCATTCAATTAACAGTATTAGTTCAGAAAGCAGTACAGCTCAATTGTTCAGAAGATAATCATTTTGAACATATCTTTACACAGTTGTTACTCATAGAATTCTGGGCTACAGTAAGCTAGAGCGCATCCCCAGTCGCCAACCCTACACAGTTTACAAGATGAACACACACTAAGCTATACAGTTGGGAAAGATAATAACTTAGTCCCTAATTTGCCTCGGTGTGTTATACATCTATATCCTCATTAAGATGACTTAAACTAGGCCTAAGAATGCCTAGGATGGGATAAGGATGCAAAGATGCGCATAGAAAACAGTTTCAGAATTTTCAGAAAAACAGAGCCCCGCTCGAGCGCAGGTTTCCCCGCTCAAGCGGACATGCAACAAAGGTACCCGCTCGAGCGACAAATACCCCGCTCGAGTGGACTGTAAAAGTGCTGGATAGGTGAAATCCCTGCTCGACGGACGCTCGACGTCCGCTCGAGCGTGAGACACAAGCCTCCGCTCGAGCGTGCGATCTTCCGCTCGAGCGGACTGTAAAACAGTGCAAAGTACTGGATGCTTGAATTCCCCACTCGAGCGCTACTTTCCTCGCTCGAGCGAGAGTGCAAAATCTAGAAAATCCAGATTGCACCTTCAAGCCAAAAACCAAGTTTTGATGCTTCAAATTCGATCCTCTTAGGCCAATTTTCTAGAAAACATTTGTAAACTCATAGAACAACATGATTCCAAAGCTCAATCGTAAAATCAAAGCCCAATGGTAGTTTAATTCAACTCAATTTCAAACCAATTTTCATGAACAAGATGAACATGCAACATGCATGGACTTAAATCATTTCAAAGCTTTAAATACAAGCTCAAATGAGCCAATTGTTTCCAAAACAAGATGAAATCATAGCCTACACTCAAAACATGGACATGCATGTGAGGAATTATGGACTACAACCTCAAAACCATAATATATACATGCATGCAACAATTAAGCTCTAATGCAACACTTAAGAGCCATAACTTGGCTCAAGACTACAACTATGGTCTAGACCATGCAAGAATAGGGTAGTTACTCTACCTTAGGTCTTCAATTACAAGAATGGAAGCACAATATGCAAGGATCCATTCAACCTCTACAAGTCTCTAAGCCAATTTGTGAAGAACTCAAGCTTTCTTTACCTCTCTCTCTCTCTCAAGTCGGCAATAACAAGAAATGAGGCTAAGGAAAATGTTTTGGGCAATGCAAGACTAAGTCCCGCAATGTTTGGTATAGTGGCCACTAAAAGGGCAAAAACGTAAATAAGTGCAACAATGCAATTTAACTCATTTTAATCCAACTTAATCATACTAAATCAATTTTCAGTTAAATACATCATAAATTCACATAAATTCCAATGATCCTAAAACATCAATCAATTTCTGGTTCTGCCACCGATAAGGCCTTCAATTTGTAGTTTAAACATAAAAACACGAACAGATCAATTAACAATCAACAGATAGAAAATGCATTTAAACAGATACAGTCAATCCATCAGTTTCGGATTTCAGTCAATCAGTTCAGTATTTCAATTACTTCAGTTATCAATCATAATCAGTCTCAGTCTAGCAGTAATCGGTAGTTTATCGGTAAACAGTGACGAGGGTTGTTACAGATATGTAATGAGCTTCTAATTTTCAAGACTTACATTTAAGTGGCAAATTAAATTAAATTCAACTTCACTCAAATTAAATTAAGCTCATCATATTATGATCTCAAATACACTAAATTTGAATAAATTAATGTGAATTAGGTTATAATTGCATATCTCAATAATTAATTATACCTTGCTCAAATTAGCGAACCAGACAGGTGTATTTTTCACTCTATAGAAATAATGACTATAGAAATGCTGTCAACATTAGCTTTAGTATCGGCAGGCACAGACAATACACAACACAAATACCCTTGACACCCCTTTCTAATCAATTTGTATGCTTTTATAGATGAAATCAAGTATGGGAGAGGTACGACACCAACTCCGTTAAATATAAATCCAGGTAACTCAGGTGGACGAAAAACAACTTGTTTTGTTACACAATCAATGGAGGCATGATATTTGTTAACCAATCCATTCCCAAAATTACATCAAAGTGATCAAGATTCAAAGGCAATAAATCAACATATAAAACCACATCTCCAATAATAATCTCACATGCAGGATACACATAAGCACAAGTCATGGACCCTCCAGCAGGTGAAGATACAACTAATAAAAAGTTCATGGGTTCTAGTGGTCTATTTAATTTTTGTGAAAAAGCATGCAAGACAAACGAGTGTGTAGACCTCGAATCAATCAAAACATAAGCATTTTGTGCACATATTGGAAGTATATCTAACACCACTATCTCAGTATTCTGCACATCCCCTGGTACAAGTGCAAACACCCAGTCTTGCCTCAAAGTTTCTCTCTCGGTAGCTTTCAAATTTGGTTTTGGTGTGGCGGTTGATGCTGCAGCACTAGCCACAGGTCTACTAGTGCCTTGAGATGCGAGAGGACAGTCTTTGACTATATGGCCCACCTTGCCACAACTATAACATGCCCCAAAAATTTTATAACAAACCCCTTTATGTCTTCTGCCACATTCTAGACACGATGGTATAGAATTGTTCCCTTGGCTAGAATTACTTGTTGACCCTGTATTCTGTTTCTTACTTAGTGAGTTATTCCTGCCCTTTTTGAAATTAAAACTGTCTCTTACCCCGCCATTCAGTCACCGGCATCTGAGCCTGCTTTAAAGCTGCAATATTTATCTCAGCCATGATAGCTCGGTCAAGAACATCCACATACTTGAGTAATTTCAAAACATTGATCCGGTCAAGTATCTCCGCATTAAGTCCTCCATCAAGTTTTCGAGCCTTTTTGTAGTCAGTATCTACCATGCGTGGGGCATAACGTGCAAGCGCGGTAAATTTTTCTTCATATTCAGCCATAGACATATTACCCTGCTTTAATTCCCCAAACTCGAATACTTTACGGTCACGGACACATTGAGGAAAATATTTATCATAGAATGCTTCCTTGAATTAAGCCCAAATCAAATCATAATAGTATTATTTTCACGCACAAGCATCTACCATCGCCTTGCCTCATCCTCTAAAGTGAAAGTGGCCAACAACACTTTTTGTGCCTTTGAACACAGAAACACTTCAAACAGCTTTTGAATTTCTAGAATCCATGCTTCTGCTTTCAGTGGTTCTAGTCCTCCCTGGAATGTCGGTGGCTTTATTTTGTTAAACTTTTGTATTAAGGAAATAACATCATCATTGGCATTTAGTTCAGGTTGCACTGGTGGAGGAGGAGAAGGTGGAGGTGGAGGATGTTGATTCTGTTGTTGTCTTAGAGCTTCAGTCAAGAGTTCAACCATTCTCTCCAATCTTGCAAGTCTTACTTCGGGTGATTCATTTTCATCTACATTTCTTGCATTCTTCATTGCACTATATGAAACATGGTAATAATAAACAGAGGAAAAGATGGTTTTTACATTCATATTATATATATACATATAACATGTCCACACACACTTATTCATGCTCATGCAATGCCCTAATTGCTTTTCTAGGACATCCTATAGCTCATTGGGACACGTGTGTATGGTATAACTTGTGCTTTGATGCCACCCTGTCACGACCCAAACCTGTCCCTATGAGTTTTGCATCATAACCGGTCAGTAATCCGTAATTACCATAGGCTTGTTTCACAACAATGACAATAATACAGTAAAAAGGGGCTGACGGAAACCAATCAAAATATACATACATCGTCCAATGAGCTGTGAGGACCTGAATGGAAACAAACTTCAATATACGTAGTTATATACACAAATATTTATGTCCAAGAAACACATACGTACAAGCCAAAACACAAGTTAGGGATTTAAATTCCATTATCAAAAATAGTGGTAACCAAAAGTCATAAAACATTCATTGACTCCAAATGACATTGAAAAAGGGTGGGTTGAGATCACTTCAAAACAAAACCTTGACAATAACGGTTCAAAACCTCGCAGTGAGGCGCAATAGGTTAGCTTGACAAAACTGGATCAGGTTGACGCCGCCAACTTTGCTCCGGTGCTTGGCCACCTACATATATAATAAACTGTGAACTAGAGCACAGTGAATAACAAAATGTGTAAAGGGGTTTATGAATGATGTCCCTATAACAATTCAAAATAGTCAGATTTAATAGTGAATAAATTCACAAAGCAATATTTCAGGAATTTCATAGTCATATGGAATCATAGCAGTCAAACGTGGTACATCCATTAGCAGAACAGTATAGTAGGTCTTAAAAGACTGAACAATCAGTTGCTGGCCATCAAATAGTAAACATTAGTTCCAAACCTTGGAACTGATAGACATCTCTATAACAGTAGCAGTAACAGTAACAGTAACAGTAGTAGTAACAATTAGTTGCTTTGGATGCCACGAGTACAATTCTCAAAATAGGACAATCATTCATTCAGTAAATAATATCATTTCAGTAAACAGTACAGTAGTATCGATTGGAAAATAATTATACATGAACATAGCTTTACAACATTGTTTTACTCACAATGGGCTCCTTGAAACACATGCTAAAATGCACTAAAAATGTGGCATCCAACCTAAACAAACAAATCCAAGTACAACAACCCAATTACATTCATATCGCTAGTCAATTCTATCTAATTCGGTTGTTATCTATTCAATTTCCATTCGTTTTTACTCGTTCGGTTCAAAATTTTCATTTGTACATTCTAATGCACTCATAAGATGTAAATGCACATGAAAACACTTTAAAACTATGCAAACGGAGGCCTGAAAGGTGGAAAAGAGGAGCGAAAAACAAACTGGGCCTACCCAAAAGGGTCGCATGTGCGACGGTCCCAGCCGCATTTGCGGTGACCACTACTGCACTTGCTTTTGCAGGTGCAATTTAAGCAGAATACACCACACCACTGCCTTGTTTTCCACACGTGCGGGGCTCCAAGCCACATGTGCGGCACTGGCTGAAAAACTGTCTGAAATGCTCTTCTTTTTGGCAATGCCTTCCTTTGCAAAATCAACCCCATTTTCATGCATTTCACTTCCAAAAACTTGACATAACACTTTGAATTAAACATATTTAGCTTGGAACAAAATTCATAACTTCAATTGAAGCTTCAAAACCATGCAAGGAGTTCAAATTCTTAAAGTGGAAACACAAGTTCATAACTAATACAAAGTTAGCTCCAATTCTTTAAAATGCATGGAGTTTTCCTTCCAAATGTTGAAACTCAAAGAAGAAGCAAGGAAACAATTAAATAATCATGAGTTCCATGGAAAATATGCCATGCATGGTGAATTTAGGGGCTAAATTAGCCAATACTTCCATTAACAAGTGATGCAGGTCCTAAGCTTTCATTTCATGAACAAGACCTCTAATTACTTGTAAATTCATTCTCACTTAAACTTGTATCTTGGAAGATGATGAGTAGAGGAGCTTGAAGTTGAAAAAATTGGAAAGAAAGGTTTTCCTTGTGTTGATATTCAAGCTAGTTTCTATCGTGCACCAAGTTCTTCCTTTCTTCATCTTCTTGATGAATTCTACTCTCTCTCTCTCTCTCTTCGTGTGTTGTTTCTAGCTCAACACCAAGCACCCACTCTCTTTCTTTGTTGATTATAAAATAGGCCTAAGGATATGTAATGAGCTTCAAATTTTCAGGACTTACACTTAAGTGGCAAATTAAATTAAATTCAACTTCACTCAGATGAAATTAATCTCATCATATTATGATCTCAATTACACTAAATTTGAAAAAATTAATGTGAATTAGGCTCTAATTGCATATCTCAATAATTAATTCTACCTTACTCAAATTAGCAAATCAGACAGATTTATTTTTCACTCTAAACTATTCAACCAATGAAAATGCTTAAGACATGAAAATAACTTGAGGACTGCACATATTTTTGGAGGCAAATCGCTTTGTTTAGTTTAGCTTTTAAAATCTGTATTTTAAAAAATATTAAAAGTTAGTTTGATAAAAAATAATAAAAAATTAATGAACACTCATCAATTTCATACCGTTCCTTATTTTTGTACAAAAATATTTTTTGAAAAAATTTCATGTTGTTTATTATTTTTTGTACAAAAATATTTTTTGAAGAATTTAATAATATTTTTTGCTGTTTTTTTTCACCAAACAAGATTTTAGTATTTTTAAAAGAATAGATTCTAAAAACAAAATGAAACAAATTAATATAAAAAATTGGGTCAAGTGTTTACGTGAATTTGAATTAAATTTAGGAGAAGTTACGAGACTTTATATTTCAATACAAACTAAAACTAATAAAATTAAAAATAAATCAAAACTTACAAACAAAAGCCAAAATATCCCAATCATTTATTACTTTAATAAATTTATTAATACCAAATGATCATTCCATAAACAGAAAACACATCTAAATTTTTTTAATAAAAATTCATTTTCAAAACAAAGGAAAAATATATAATAAAATTTAGGGTAAATTATGCAAATAGTCTATGCAGTTTACACGATATGCCAATTTGGTCCCTATAATTTTAATTTGCTTGATTTTACCCCTTAATTTAATGGATTGTGTCATTTTAGTTCAATAAATAATAGTTGTTAAGTTAATTTAACGGAATGCCAAACAATGTGTCAATGTGGTCCATGTACTTTATACGATGTGTCAATTTGGTTCCTTTAGTTTCAATTTTCTTGATTTTGATAGGGACTAAATTAACACATTGTGAAAAATACAGGGACCAAATTGAGACATTGTTTGACTTTCCGTTAACTTAACTTAACAGCCGTTATTTATTGGACTAAAATAACACAATCCATTAAATTAAGAAATCAAATTAACACATCGTATAAACTATAGGACTATTTACATAATTTTTTCTAAAATTTATGAGAGTTAAAAAGTAAAGAAGTTCAGGGTAATTATTATATGATATTTTTCCTAAGGAAAAAAAGTCCAATTTAGTAAGTAATTTTGGGTCCCACTAATACTCAATTCTGAAATTATTTCTAGGCCCTGCACGGTTGAGGACTTTTTGAGCGTGTTTATTACTTTCCGATGTCGGTCCCAAATTTGACCTGTAGGTCAAGACTGAATTGGCGAAGTATTCGGAAAAGATGATAAATGCACGAAATGGTGAGAGGAATTCCCCAGGCTACAATACCTGGAAGCGTGGTCATGGAGTTAAAATTTCTTTCAAAAACTATGGAGAAGTAAGAGTTAGGGGATGGAGAGAATTGGTAAGAGTTTGGTGGCAATGGCAAGGTTTCTGGCGAAGAAGAGTGAGAGTTAGCTTTGAGATCAATTTCTATCCTTCTCAAATGCCAACTTGAGCCCCTAGCAAGAGAACCCAACATTTTATTTGTAAATTTGATCGATGATTTTCTTCCTCTATTCTTGAGAAAATGGTGAAACATCATCTGGGCTCTAAGATTTTCACCCTCTTCTTTCTCTGTTTACTCTACCTTTTCGTTTTTGGTCATTGTCAATCCCATTCAAGCGATGCTTCAACAATGCAGGCCTTGAAATTGAGCCTCGGCCTCGACCAACTGGGTTCACTCGATTGGACTGGCTCGGACCCGTGCAATTGGCAAAACGTGGGTTGCTCCAAGGACGGACGAGTTATCGAGATCAAAGTCAGATATCAGAACCTCCAAGGGGGGTCTCTCCCTTCAAGCCTGGCCAACCTCACCGCCTTGCAAACACTCGATGTCGCATCCAACGATCTCAGTGGTCCACTCCCAAGTCTCCATGGCATGAACTCACTCCAAAACCTCTTGCTCAGCAATAATAGCTTTTCATTCATTCCCTCAAATTTCTTCCTCGGTATGACGTCCCTGGAAAATGTTTATCTTGACAACAACTCCTTCTCAGCTTAGCCCATACTAGACAGTCTCCGAAGCGCATCGACCCTCAGGGTCTTCTTGGCCAACAACTCTAGCATCAACGGAAAAATACCAATTTTTCTTGGTGCTAACACATTCCCAAATCTGACAACTCTTCACTTTGAGTTCAACAAGCTTGAGGGTGGGCTACCTATGAGCTTTTCGGATTCTAAAATTGAATCTCTGAGGTTGCATAAGCAACGGAGTATTTATAAGCTCAATGGTTCAATTGCTGTGATACAAAACATGACCCATTTGATTGAACTATGGTTTCATTATAATTCTTTTCCAGGTCCATTACCAGACATTTCAAGTCTTACGAGGTTGCAGAGCTTCACTATAAATAGCAATTACATTACGGGTCAAGTACCGACAGCTTTGATGTATCAGTGTAGACACCCCATTTTTTACCATCCTCAAGACTTAGACGTCATCACTTGTGCGCTCAATGATTGTGTTCGTTTTATGCACCCGAAGTCCTCAGCGGAATGCCTTGTCTTTGAGCCTCTAAACCTTATTATTTCTATGCCTTGTTT